TCCAGCTATTCTATTACTTAGCCCTTTCACTAAGTCCCACCCATCAGGGTGCTTTGCTGTGCTTTCAATAAACTTTGTGCTTTCTTTAACTCTTAACTCCTGGTCTGGTGTCTTCAATCATTGAGTTCGCCAGGACAGGAGCCCCACTCAGTCTGAATCCAGGGTCTTTGTCTTGAAACTTTGTTTGTGGTACTGGGGCTTCACCTCAAGGCCTACACCTTGAGCCACTCCACCAGCCCTTTTTTGTGATGGGTTTTTTTGAGATAGGGTCTGGTGAACTATTTGCCCAGGCTGGCTTTGACTCTCCATCCTCCTGATCTCTGCCTCCTGAGTAGCTAGGATTATAGGCATAACAAGGACAGTGAGTGAAGCGGGAAAGTTTACTGAGATAGAAAAGTAGCAAAGAGCAGAGCTCCCAGAGCTGGGAGGGGTCCCAAGAGAAGGTGCCAGAGGAGTGACATGGTTGGAGATGTTTATCTATTTTCTCCAGGGCTTTGCTCAATCTCCATGCTAATTAGGTGTGCAGAAAGCAGCATTCTGGTTGGCTGTGGGTTCTAATTGGTCATGCCCCAGTCCTCATACTATCCTTAATGGTTGGGCCTGCTTTTCCTTCTTTCTAAGCTTTAAGGTCATAGGGAGGTCATAATGGAGGTTTCCAGGGGCCCTTCTGTCTCAGAGCCCAGGTGACAGCCTGGACTTGGATGGGTCTGAAGTAAGGGCACCTGGTGAACTGAGCCACGCTGTGGGCCTGATACTCTGGAGAACTGGATTGCTTGATGTAAGAAAACCTCAACATTCTGGTAAGCAGAAGTATTGGGCTGAGGACTGTAGAGGGTGGTGCTGGGTAGAGGGGGAACTGAATAGAGAGGGGAAAATAGTTTTTTTCTTTTCTTTTTTGAACCTTGATCCTCTTGATCTCTGCCTCCTGAGTAGCTAGGATTATAGGAGTGGACCACTGGTGCCTGGCAGTATTATTTCTTTCATAGGTGTTTTCATAGCCTTCAGTAGGGAACCTATCTGGCCTGGAGTTTTCTTTGTGGGAAAGTCTTAAGTTAAAATTCAGTAGTTTAGCTGGGCCTGGTGGCTCATGCCTGTAATCGTAGCTTCTCAGGAGGCAGAGATCAGGAGGATGGAGGTTCAAAGTCAGCCCCAGGGAAATAGTTTACCAGACCTTATCTCAAAAATACCCTTCACAAAAAAAGGTTTGGGGGAGTGGCTCAAGGTATAAGCCCTGAGTTCAAACCCCAGTACCGCCCCCCCAAAAAAAAAACACCCACTAGTTTAATAAATATAGGGCTATTCTTAGTTCTGTTACTTCTTGAATCAGATTTGGTGATTTGGGGTCTTTCAGGGAATTTGTCAATTTTATCTGAGTCAAGCTGTTGGTATATTATTAGTTGCTCATATTATTATCTTCATATAGAATCTGTAGCAGTGTCTCCTCTTTCATTTTTGGTGTTCATAATTTGTATTTTCCAGGTTCATAATTTATTGTACAAACTGAGTATTAGCTGATGAGGTGACATTAGTTTCTCAACAGATGAGGTCAAGCATTTTAGAACCCATTTATGTTGCTTTCCCAGTTGGAGTTTTTTTTTAGACTTTAACTTGAACCAAGGCCTCCATATGTGACCAGTACACAATTCATTCTACCTGTGAGAGTATAAGAGTTTAACTATTTTCAATACCAGTGAACTGGAATTGGGCATTACTTCTGGGCCTACCATGATTTCAGTCTTTGCCAAAGTCCTTCAGTGTCCATAGCTACCACCCCATAATTCATATTTTCTACCTCGAGGTTTGCCTTTGTCTTTTTTTGTGGTGCTGGGGATAGAACACAGGGTCCCACACACGGGAGGCAAGCATGCCCTAGCACCATTTTCTTGATAAACTACTTATTTTGATGTTTATCTTGAATTGGCTAGATGTTTCTCAGTTTTTTTGACTTTCTAAAAAAATGAGATTGTGGCACCAGGCATGGTGGTCCGTACCTGTAATCGAAGCTTCTGGGAGGCTGAGGCAGGAAGATGTTGAGTTAGTTCCAGGCCACTCAGGGCTGCATAGGGAGACCCTGTCTCAAAACCAAACCAAACCAAAGCAAAACAATGAAAACAGGCTGTGGTTCCGCTGTTCTCCTGTTCAGTCACTTTCTTTACTTTTCAACTTTAGATTTAATTTGTTCTGATTTTTTTAGCTCCTTAAAGCAGAAGTGTAGATGCTGACTTTAAACCTCTGTTCTTCTCTTACATAAGCATTTAAAGCCAGCAGGTGCAGGTGGCTCACGCCTGTAATCCTAGATACTCAGGAGGCAGAGATCAGGAGGATCGTGGTTTGAAGCCAGCCGTGCCAAATAGTTCCATGAGACCCTATCTTGAAAAACCCTTCACAAAAAAGGGCTGGTGGAGTGGCTCAAGGGCAAGGCCCTGAGTTCAAGCCCCAGTACTGAAAAAAAAGAAAAGGTACAAATAATTAGCCTGCTTTGTGACTTCTTCTTTGACCCAAGGGTTATTTATTTGGAAGTGTTTCATTTTCAAAGCACTGATTTTCCTAGTTGTCTGTTACTGATTTCCAAATAATTTCCTTTGTGGTCAGGAAACATTCTGTACAATCATTCTGAGTAGAGTGCAGAGCTGTTTCATGGCCTATCATGTGATGTGATTTACCTTGCTGTCCATCCCATGCATGCACTTGGAATGGTGGTCTGCCCACGCAAATTAGGTCTAGGTGCTTAAAGGTGTCACAGGGCAAAATTACAATTTAGTTTAAAGTTCTTAATTGGCTTTATTTTCAGACCACTCATCATTCCAAAAATATGGAACACGTGTTCCAATAAGCCCAGTAGATGAGGTTGGTTTTACAAATAGAAAAAGGCCAAAGAAAGCAGAAACAAAACTTCAAAGGTCATTTCAAAGTTACTTTCCTTGCAAGGCTGTGACATGGAGCCAGAACAATAGAAAAATAACTGATTGGTTAACATTAGGTTACTTTAGGTGACCTTTTTCTGGTGAAAGGATTAGGGTCGCTGGAACTTCATTATCATGCCAATTGAGTGGCCTGTTTGGGGAATTTGGCTGTTATCTCTCTAACCTCCATTCCTGGGAGGTCAGGTAAACAGAGTCTGGTTGGAGCAGAGCTGTAGCCCGAACGACTCCATGTTGATGTTGCCTGGCCTCTTGGACCCAGTGCAGTGCTTAGTCTGCAGCAATGCCTGCTTGGGATTTGTTTGAAGTAAGTGTTGCTTAAGTCTTCTACATAGGCTTACTAGTCCTCCAACTGCAAGTGAGTTTGTATTTCTGTCCTTTCATTCTTTGTTTCTGTTTTTTTGTTCTTGGCCACTGAGGTTTGAACTCAGGACCTCAGGCTTTCCAGGTAGGCACTCACCCCTTGAGCCACGCCCCCAGATGTCTATGGGTTTTTGTTTCAAGTGCTTTGCAGGTCTGTTTTTGGGAGCACACAGCTTTAGGACTGCTGTGTGCTGCTGAATAGGTCTTTTTCTTCTATTTTCTTATTTTTTTTGGGCATCATTGAGGTTTGAACTCAGGACCTCATGCTTGCTACACAGGTGCTCTACTGCTTGAGCCACTCTGCCAGATTTTTTTAGTCTGGAAATAACTCCTTGTGGGAAGTCTACTTAGCGTGACGTTAATGTAGCTCTTTCAGCATTTTTTCTTTTTTTTTTTGCAGTACTGGGGTTGGAACTCGGGGCCTACACCTTCAACCACTCCAGCGGCCCTTTTTAGTGATTTTCTTTTTTTGAGATAGGGTCTTGTGAACTATTTGCCCAGGCTGGCTTGGAACCACAATCCTCCTGAGAAACTAGGATTACAGGCATGAGCCACCAGCGCCCAGCCTCCTCCAGCTTTTATTATTATTTTTATTTTTACATTTACTCACATGTGTATACATTGGTTGGTGGGCCACCCCCACCATGCTCCCAGGCAGGATCTGTTCTGTTCTGCCCCCTTCTCCAGTTTTTTAAAATCTACCTTTTTTTGGGGTGGGGGTGGGGGCAGGGTCTTGCTGTATGGTCCAGCCTATGGAATGCTGGCACCATCTACATATATGTATATATGTAGATAGATAGCTTTTTCTTTTTCTTTCTTTTTTGGTGGCACTGGGGTTTGAACTCAGGGCCTCATGCTTGCTAGGAGGATGCTCTACCACTTGAGCTACTCGGCCAGGTGCCTGGCTTCTTTTTCTCTAAAGAGACAGGGTCTTTTTGTGTTGCCCAGGCTGGTTTCCTGATCCTCCTGCCTCAGTAGTGTCCCCGAGCAGTTGGGACTATAGGACTCAACTGTAAATTTATACTCAAAGTGGGTTCCTGAGGACAGCACATGGTTGAGTCTTGCTTCTTCCTCTCAGTCTGCTAATGGAGTGTTTACACCATTGTATTTAATGTAATTTTTTTTTTTTTTTTTTACAGCACTGGGGCTTGATCTCAGGGCTTATACCTTGAGCTGCTCCACCAGCCCTTTTTGTGATGGCTTTTTTGAGATAGGGCTGGCTTTGAACCTGAGTAGCTAGGATTACAGGCATGAGTCACCAGCGCCTGGCTTAAAGTAATTATTACATTTGTTTACTTATTTATTGGTGCTGAGGATTGAACCTAGGACCTTGAGCACGCCAGGCTCATTACCACTGAGCTACACCATGTTGTAGCTTGAATAGTCTTTACTCCATTTCCTGTGTGGGGAAGAGAAAATGTTTCTCCCTTTCCCCTCATTTCTCCCTATCTTTATCCTGCTCTTCTAAATTTGTTTCCTAATAAACTTTGCTGTCATTTTCACTATGAGAGAGAGAAAAGCTGGGCGCTGGTGGCTCACGCCTGTAATCCTAGCTGCTCAGGAGGCAGCGATCAGAAGAATTTTGATTCAAAGCCAGCCCTGGGCAAATAGTTTGTGAAACCTAGCTGGAAAAAAAAAAAAAAAATCAGAAAAAGGGGCTGGTGGAGTGCTCAAGTGGCCTAGCATGCCTGATGCCCTCAGTTCAAACCCTCCCTTTCCCATCATTTGTGGCAGTTTTGTAACACATTTTACTTCTACATATATCACAAGGTCTATGATACATTGTTATTACTTGTTCTTTAAACAGTCAATTATCTTTTTTAAAAATTAAAGCTGTTTTTTCATGTAGTCCCATGTTTACCATGTCTGACTCTGCATTCCTTTCTGTTGATCTGAGCTTCCATCTGCTGTCAGTTTCCTCCAGCCTGAAGAATGGTCTGTAGTGTGAGACTGTTGGTGATGAGTTCCATCAGACTTTGTCTGTCTGAAAAGTCTTTATCTGCCTTAATTCTTTTTTTCAATACTGGGGATGGAACCCAGGGCCTCACGCATGCCAGGCAAGCACACGGCTTTCCCAGCCCTTTCATTTTTCTAATTACTTTTACGATTTTTCTCTTTATCACTGATTTTCAAAACTGTGATTATGATGTTTCCCAGGCTGCAGACATGTACACCTTGAACGTGGACATGCATGTGTGGGCACACATGTGTGTTTATCCTGATGCTTGGAGTAGGGTAGTTAAGTTTCTTGGATCTGTGATTTAGGAGTTTTACCAAGTTAGAAAACAACTTAGTCATAATTTCTTCAAATCCTTCCATTGTCCCCCATGCCTTTTCTTTCTGTTAGACTGGTAGAGAGTATCCTTCAGGCCACTAAGGAGTTTTGTTTGTTTTTGAGACGAGGGCTCACTCTGCAGCTCAGGCTGGTCTCAGCTACTCTCAAACTTGAGATCTTCCTGCCTCAGCTCTTGAATGCTAAGATTGTAGGTGTAAACCTCAGCTGGCCTCTGCTTTTCACCATGTTGTGCTGTTTTTCACTGTGGGGATGAACATAGTGTCTCACAGCTGTGAGGCAAATGCTCCACCACCCAGCTCCACCCCAAGCCCCTTGTGTCTCCTCTGTGTGGAGTTTTATTCTATGTAGTTGTGGGCCAGGACTCAGCAAAGACTCAAGAGAAGTCTCAAGTGGATTTCTGGGGCTCTTTTCTGCATAACTTCCTCCTTTCTGGCCTCTGCTGCCCCTCTTGCTTCTCCAAATGCCACGTTCCAGGTCCTCAGCTCAGCAAGGCTTTGAACTGTGTGACACCTGCTCTTCTGCAGCCCAGGAGCTCCTCCTCTGCTCTCCTCCCAAGGATTACAGGCCTGTGCTGCCTGCAGTTCGGCTTCTGAAAATGGTGGCTTTGAATATCTGTCCGGCTTTCTCTTTGCGTATGGGGGACTCTTAACTTCTGGTCCTTATAACTACAGCCTGGCAGAAGAAGAAATAGGTGAGTCATTTTGCAGCTCTAGAGTAAATACCTCCAGAAAGCAGCTGGTTTTTATTTCCTAAGGTATTTGCTTTGTTTTAAAAGTTACTTCAACCTGTTGCTCTCTTGAGAGGCAGTGGTTATTTCATGATAAGGATTTCAAAAGAGCCAACAAAGAGCTGCTTGAGCAACCATCTCTCAGAAAGCATGGAGGGTCCTCTGTACAGGCAGGAATTGGGTCACTCACCCAAAATGAGGACACTATGATGCCCTGTCTACTGGCCAGAACACTGGTTCTTAGAGCTCTGCAGCTGCAATTACCAGAAGAGGCCCTGGGGCTCAACGCAGCTATCCTAGAGCAGCCTCTCTGCAGGACTGGTGCTCATACTCAGTCCTGCCCTAGAGCAGCAGCCAGGCACAGCTGAGGGAAAGAGGTGGTACTGAGAAACGGGAGAGCCTGGATTTCACGGGGTACAAGAACAGTCTTGGCTGTGGTGCCAGGCTGCCACTGGCCATGGGAAGGCGAGCTGAGTGTACATGAGGTGGTCACATTGTTCTACCTGGAGCTTGAGCTCCTGGACTGTAGCCAGTGGGCTCCTGGAACAGGCTTGCCTGTTCCTTCTGGATGGACCGGCTCCCATGGCCTGTCTGTCTTACCTGACTCCTCTATCCCAGAGGAGTCAGTACACAGTGTGAACATGGTGTTCTGGGTTACTTTATAGCAGTCACAAACTGTTCTTTGAGGTCACCCATTCTGTTTTCTTCTGTTCTTTCTTCTCACAAATGTGTATCACAACCAACTTGTTACCATCTCCCATAGGAGACTTCTTAACCTCCTCTCCTGAGCTCATTCTGGATTTCACAAGAAACAAAAGCATCCACAGAGGCCAGAAGGTGGTGTCAGGGACTCCTGATGTTTAAGAAACATCACAAGAGGCCACTGTGTGAACGAAATGCCAACAGACAGTTAAGCATCAAAATGGAGTCACTTGCTGGGCACTGGTGGTCACGCCTATAATCCCAGCTACTCAGGAGGCAGAGATCAGGAGGATCACAGTTCAAAGCCAGCCCCGGAGCAAATAGTTTGCAAGACCCTATCTCAAAAATACCCAAGACAAAACAGGGCTGGCAAAGTGGCTCAAGTGGTAAGAGCACTTGCCAGAGCAAGTGTGAGGCCCTGAGTTCAAACCCCAATACCACCAAAAATAAAAGTAGCCTGACGTTAACCAACCAGCTATAAGAGGATGGTAACTGAATGACAAGTTCCTCTGTGTCTTCCTCCCCTTTGTAGAAGTCCATGTAGCCAGCCTCTCCGCTCAGCCCATCACACACACTTAACTCCAGTTATGGAATAATGTGTAGCCAGGCAGGATCTTTCAACTATGATTTTGTCCTTTGACACTGATTTCAAAGGGCATGGGAAGATGGTGCTGGACCAAATGTCATAGGTTTTCATGCTCCAGATGTGGTACAGTCTGAACAGTCACTGCACATCCTGGCAGTCACAGAGACCAGTTGCACTAGCTTGCTGGCCACCCTGCTCTGGCTTCTCTCACCTGCAGGACTTGCGGGGGCAATCTTGGGTTTACCTTGTGAGCACTTCTCCAGAAGCTGACACTGGGGTCCATCAGCTGCTGCCTGCCCATCAGTTTTCCAGGATGCTCAGTTGGAGGCCACACAGCACCAGCCAGCCTGGTGGCAGGGCAGTGCAGCTCTTGAAGCTTGCAAACAGCTGAGATTGGACCACATCTTGTTTTGATTTAATTCAGTGCCAATACTCAAAAGTCTGAGCCAGGCGCTGGTGGCTCATGCCTGTAATCCTAGCTACTAAGAAGGCAGTGATGGGGAGGATCAAGGTTCAAAGCCAGCCTGGGCAAATAGTTCTTTGAGACCCATCTCGAAAAACCCATCACAAAAATAGGGCTGAAAACACTTGGCCAGGAAAGAGCTTCTATGGCTGTGTGGGTTCAGGCCCTGACTCCACCAGAGGGGAGCCCTGGCAGGGACCCCATGTTCAGGTTCAGACAACAGTTACTTGTTTGGTTCTTTTTTCTCCTGGCTGTTCAGATAAGAGAAGCCTTCACCTACAAATCTCATAGAGACTTTCTCACTATGTAACTACGGCTTTATAGAATGACTTTGGACTAGCAGCACACTTTATCTTAACATTCCTACCAACTTTTTTAAGGAAAAAATTTCAAAATTTTTTGGGGAAAGCCAATGTAATTTTGTGGGGTTTTTTTTTTTTTTTTTTTTTTTGGCTGTAATGGGACTTGAACTCAGGGGCCTACCCCTTGAGCCACTCTAGCAGCCCTTTTTTGTGATGGGATTTTTTTGAGATAGGGTCTCAAACTGTTTATCCCAGGCTGGTTTTGAACCACGACCCTCCTGATCTCTGCCTCCTGAGTAGCTGGGATTACAGACATGAGCCACCAGTTACTGGCTGCCAGTGTAATTTTCAAAGAATGAACCTTTACAGGAAAACACATCCTGCATTAGTGTCATGTTCATTCTTTCCTCCCTACATGTAAAAGTCAAGTGGGAGACTGGAGGGCAGACAGGTCACCCTCTTGCACTTTCAGTCTTAATCTGAGTCACATTCCTCTGGAGCTCCCCCCACCTCCCTGCCCATAACCCTCTGGCCTCAGGGTGACCTTCGCCCTCCTCCCACAGCTTTTCCTTCCACCCCTGTTCTGGTCAGGCCTGTCCTTTCTGGCACTCCAGGGAGTAGAATGCAGACTAGGACTGGAACTCTGGGTGCTAAAAATGGAATCACAGCACTTTGGGGCCTAAGCTTATATACCTTGGTGGAGGTGAGCACAGGAACAAGGGCAGGTGGAGAGGAAGCGCTCCCAAACACTGGCTCGTGGTCACCACTCTCCTTGACCCCCCTCAGATTGCTTTTATTTTATGGATGTAGACACGCAGTCCTACAGACATCCCAGCTCTCTGTGTTCTCCCCAAGGCAGAGGTTCCTTTCTGGACCACTTATCTACGCTGTGTTGCTGACCTATAGAAACCACTAAGAGCACATTTTCCTGCCAGAGAGCTTCCCTTAGTCCCCTGTGAAAAGGGCACAGATCCTCTACAGCCCATAAACCACATGAGGAAAATGGCCAGCCAGGTCCAGAGTTAAAAAAGTCAAATTAAAACCAAATCGGGCCTATCACAAAAAATTGAGCTGGTGGAGTGCCTCAAGGTGAAGGCCCTGAGTTCAAACCCCAGTACTGCAAAAAAAAAAAAAAAAAAATTAAAACCAATAATGACATACCAGTTTTCATTTATCAGATTGGCTAAATAAGAAAAGAAAGGAAGGGGGAGGGGGGAGGAGCAGGGAGGCAGGGGAGGGAGGGAGGAAAGGAAGGAAGGAAAGGAAGGAAGGAAGGAAGAAGAGAGAAAGGAAAGAAGGAAGGGAGGAAGGAAGAAGAGAGAGAAAGAAAGGGGTAGGAAGGGAGAGAGGAGGAAGGAAGGAAGGAAGGAAGGAAGGAAAGAAAGAACGAACATTGGATGACGTGTGCGGTCCTGGACTAAGGACAGGCGACTTCCACCCCGCGGGCAGCATCAGGCACTGGGCCGGTTTCTTTGAGAACAATTTGGTACTATCTATTAAAACCGCCTCTTTAACCCAGCTATTTCCCTTCTAGATAATTATCCAACCACAGACTCAAGAGCACACCAAGGCACGTCCAGAGTGATGTTCAAGTGTGAATCATGACAAGACATGCCATCTCCCTTTGCAGGGTCTGAGACTCCAGACCAAACGAGCTTGTGTGGTGCTGTTAGCTCAGTGCACACTGGTGTAGAATGACATCCAGATACAAAGGAGACAGAGGACACCTGTCTAAATTATATTTAAAGACACAGCTTGGAGTAGTGGGTGAGATTATAGCCAAGCAGGGGAGGGAGAGAGCAGGAGAAGCTGGCTTTTTACCTAGGCCTGCACTGTTTTGTTTTTAATTTAAATTTTTTTGGTGTACTGGGGTTTGAACTCAGGGCCTCCTGCTTGCTAGGTAGGTGCTCTACCACTTGAGCCATGACCCCAGTCCTTTTTTTAGTTTAGTTATTTTTTGGATAGGGTCTTTCATTTTTGTCCAGACTAGCCTTCCTCCTGTCTTTTCCTCCCACACAGTTGGGATCTCTGGTGTATACCACCATGCCAGGCTTGTTGTTTTGGGGTCCTGCTAATTTTTGGCCTCTGTTGACCTCGAACATGGATCCTCCTGATCTGTGACTCCTGAGTCTCTGTGAATATGGGTGTGTACCACTGAGCCTGGGTCACAGGTTGCTTTAGCTCCAAGGAGGTATCAGTATAACCAGACTGGGTATGGAGCCCCTTTTGCTCCAGGAAAGTAGTCCTGGTGCCTACTGTCATTAGACTGTAGGATACCCACGGGACAGACTCTTGGGAGGCTGGTGTCTGTCATAACTCTCAAAAAGGTGTTCAGAGTACCTATAAATTGCACCCCAAGAAGGTGGAGAAGATCTGTCTGCCAATCAGATTTTGGAAGCAAGCGCTTCTTGGTGAGAAGGATGTCTTCCAGAGCCACATGGCTGGGAACTGTGGTCCTTGGTCCACAGATCAGGTGAACAAGTCTTTTACATCAGACTGACCTTTGCTGTGAGGCAGAAGAGCTACATTCCATTATCATTCTTATTATTTTTGGTGCTGGGGGTAAACCTGGGCCTCAATGGATGCCAGGCAAGCCTCTACCAGTGAGCCACACCACAGCCCTGATTATTATTATTTTGTCAAGTTTCTAAATATTATTTAATTCAATTAAGTTGATATGGAAAATTAACCATCAGAGACTGTTGGTTAAACTCACTTTGTTTCTCTAAAATGAGTTCATAGATTCTATAATGATGTTAAGAATGTACAAAAAGAAATAGAGAAATGAAGACTCAAATGACCACTGGGAAATTATTATGAGAAAATGTGGTTGGCTATCTCAGCCCCAAGTAAAACTTAGACTTTTACTTCCTTAAAAAATGTGAACATATG